TTTTTTTTTGTTTTTGAAGACAGGGTCTATCTATGTGGTCCTGGATGACCTGCAACTCATTATGGGAACCTGACTGGCTTCACCTTGCAGTGATGCTCATTCCTCTGTTCCTGAGTGCTGGTTCTGCAGGCATGTGCCACCATGCCCAGTTAAATCAACCAACTCTTAGGAAAAATAATTTTACATTTATTGATTGTGTGTGCACGTGCTACCGCGCACATGTGGAGGTCAGAGGAAAACTTGGCAGGAGTCAGTGCTCTCCTTAGACTATGTGGTCCCACAGATCAAGCTCAGGTCTTCAGGCTTGGCAGCAGTGAGCCACCTCACTGGCCCAATCAACTGGTTCTTAAATACAGGTTAATGGAATCAACTTACTCTTCCAAAGCTTAGCTAAAGCACTCAGATAATAAAAAGGATATATTATACCTTTCTTACAGGCAAGAGCTTTTATCAATTTAATTTCTTACATGGGACCAGAGATTCCATTACTCAATCAAAGGTATTATCCTTAGAAAAATATAGGGGTGGAAGGAGGACTAAGGATACCAAATGATTGCACATAAGGTAGAAACAACACACTAAAAATTTGTGCTTTAAGGGCAAGTTCACGTAACTACAATATTACTAAGTAATACTTCCCGGAGCTTATACTGACAAGAGTTATGGTCAAATCAACCACTGAAATTTGCACATCTCAAATCAGTAACTTTTTACTTTCCAAACAATCTCTGAATTTCTAAGACCAGTTTTGTCCTAAAATTACTTGATATGGTGCTGGGGAAATGCCTCAGTCTGTAAATAACTTGCCACACATTAGGACCTGAGTTCTGATCCCATTCACCCAAGTAAACTAGATGTGGCCCAGGAACCTGTAATCGCAGTACTGGGGAAGGAGAGAGAAGGATCCCTGAGGCTCACTGACCAGTTAATCTAATCAGCAAGCTCTAGATACAGTGAGAGAAACTATCTCAAAGACAGGTTGAAGAGCAATTGGGGAAGACATCTGAAATCATCCTCTGGCCTCCCCATACATGGGCACATGCATGCATGTGCACACACACACCACACACAAACTACTTGGTCAAACAGATAATACTGGTAAAATCTGATTCTAATTTACTTTATATAACACTCAGAAAGCAGATAAAAAGGGCAATATTGGGGCTGGAGAGATGGCTCAGCGATTAAGAGTACTGACTGCTCCTGCAGAGGACCTAGGTTCAGTTCCCAGCACCCACATGATAACTAACAATCATCTATAACTCTAGTTCTAGGGGAATTCAATGCTCTTTTCTGATCTTCGTGGGCACTGCATGACACAGGTGCACCTACATTCAGGCAATACACTCATACACATAAATTAAATACTTTTTTAAAAAGAGAAATATTAAAATAAGCTAGCCCCAGTCCTGTTATGTTCTGGATGAAGAGGATTCTTACTGTACCATCCTATCTCCCGGCCTGTCCTTGTTCATTATTTATCATTCACTCATTAAAGGAATTCTTCTAGGTGCTTAGCACTTACCAGCAAAAGTCATTATGCAACTTATTTTTCTAGTGATCTCAGATTTACTCTTTTGGTGTTGTGACTAATCTTGCTATGCAGCAAAGGCTGGTCTTGAACCTGTGATACTTCTGCCTCAGCCTCACAAGTTTTAGAATTACTGGGAAGAGCCACCACACCCAGCTGTGACTCCAAATTCACTTTGAAGTTGGTTAAATGTGGAACATACCAGTAATTTGTTTTTGCAAAATTGTCTGCTGTAAATCTGACCATAAAAATCTTCCATAATTTCTAATACAAACATGTAAAAACTGAAAGTAAACAAAAAAACAAATACAGTAGACCTGGTGAGCACTTTGAGCACCATAAATCTATAAAAGCTCTTCCTTCCGAGTCAATGCCTCCAAGAAACTAAAATGATTTTGCCTGAGATATGAGAGACTGCCTTACTTGGAGTCTGCTCCTTCAGAACACCTGTAAGATAACTATTTCTTTATAATCTCAGATGTTGAGGCTAGGGTGAAGCTCAGAGGTAGAACACAGCTACCTAGGGGAAGAAGGGACAAAGCTAGTCAACTGATAATATAGTACCTAAAATGCCCTAAAAGTGGCATACATTCAAAGTATTTCTAATCTGCAAATCAACCGGCTACTTTCAACTGGTTAGCCATATACTGTTCAATACAGTTGGCATTAGCCACCTGTGGCCACCAAACCCCTGAAACATGCCTTACATAAACTGAGATAAGCAGTAAGCATAGCTCACACCAGAGGACAATATCAGATATCTCAATTGTTTAGAATCAACTGCACAAGAGTATCTTAGTGTATTATTAAACTTTCCTTTGTGACTATCAAAAGTTTAAACATGTAACTCGCATTTCTTTCAGACGGCACTGCTTTAAGACGAGAAGAATTCTAAATCTGTACAGAGCTAATACATGAATGTGCTTGAGCTGTACTCAGAATTGTATTCACTTTCTCAGCCTACTTTATTAAACATCTTATATCAAAACATCAAACATTTTCATATCAAAAATGTAAATGTCAGAGGTTACAGTAAAATGGTTTAGCAGAGCTCCAATAAGTATTTAGGCGGCCATTATATGTGGGATGCTGTCAATCCATTTGCTCTGTCAGAAGCAGAGGGTCATATACTCCACACTCAAGCTACTCTCCACTATGCTCCTACAAAGTACCTGGCACCATGCTACATGCTTTACTCACTGGCCCATAAAAGTCCTAACACCCTATGTAGTAGATACTATTATAGTATCTGTCCAATACTATTTTAAGAAGACAATGTAGCAGAGTGAGGTTAAGTAACTTGCCAAAGTTGCAGTTAGTAACTTGTGGAGCCAGGATTCCAACCCAGCAGGCTAGATGTGAAACCACCACCCATTATCCCAAGTGAAAGGACTACATAGGCTGTGGCATCTGGACTGGTGATGCAGCTCAGTGGCACAGTGCTTGCCCAGCAAGCAGGAGGCTAGCTTCGATCCCCAGCACTGAGAAAAAAAAAATTTTTTTAATTGAGCCATTATCATCTTTAAGGATCAGGGAACATACCCTTCACCAAAAGACTGGCGTAGATGGAGGAAACAACCCTTTGCTTCCCACTTTCCACCTCACCCTTCTTAATAGCAAATTTTTAAAAACTGACCACACACATTAAAGGCTGTATCCTACCCTTCTGCTCCAATTCCTACTTGTCCTTCAGACTTCATTTTACACAGCGTCCATGCAAAGCTACTCCCCACAATTTGGGCTAGTCTCCCTCCTCCCCCACCTTACTATTGTAGTACTCAGCACACTATTGTGACTGTCTTCATCTGAATGATCAAGGGGTCTATTGTATCCACCACTTATTCCAGCGCCAGTAACAGTGCCTAGCTTTAGGTGCTCAATAAATATTTGCTGACTGATCTAACCACCTGACTCACCCAGCTACAGATAAAAGCAAATTTGGTGCTAGAAGTGCTAACCCACAGGGTAAAAGAACAGGTTCTAACCTTCGCGAAAGTTGTGATAGCCCCAGAGAACAGTATAATACTAGGGATATAGTTTATGAACCCTTCCACCAACAAGGTAAAATGACCTATTTTAAGTACTTGTCCCGTTTAATTTCAGCATTAACTTTTTTATGAGGCATTTAACTTACTGATAAACATTTGTCCTAAGGAAATCCAAACCGATTTCAATAATGCTGTAAAGTAGTTAGAATCAGTTTGATTTTCACAATTCCTAGAATTGAAAGACCACTGTAGTTGCTTGTATCCACCACTTATTCAAAACAGTCTCATCATGAAATTGGCTACATTATCACAAGTTGTACTGCACTGACCAAATGCTGGAGCTGAGGTCCAAAAGACAGAGGCAGGTATCCTTTAAAAGATCTGGGTGCATAGGGTGGGTAGTGGGTTTCCTCAAGAGTTACTCTGACAAAATTAATGTTAGTGCCAAAGCCAAAAGGACTTTCTTGGAACCTTCCTTTTTCATTTCCGAAACGGGAAACCCACTTAAAAGGTCAATCCCTTAGCTCTTACTTTCACACCAATTAATTCTGAAACATGTGGCAAAAGTACATTAGAAGTCCTTGGGGCCGTAACTGGGGAAACTTTCCTGTAAATTCTAGCTTCAAGTAAAATAGGAGAACTTGACTTCATTCCATCGGGTTGAGAACAGAAACTGATCATCTTCCTCAGATTACTGCTAGGGTTGAAGTCTTAAAAAGGCACTGTGAGCCAGCCATGCCAGGTTCCCACCCCAAGCACGAAAAGCCTCCAATTGTTTGACACATCAATGGTTTGGTCAAGATGGCCAACCCACTTTTCCCTCCTCTAATTTTCCTTAATCGTTCCGCAACTCTCAAGTTTACTCTAAGTTAGGACCATATGGAATATTCTCTTGGACCCCAAGTATAAATTCAGGCCTTTACCACATAGCTAGTAATGCTTCAATCCCAACCACTAAAACATGTCCATTACAAATATCACACATCAAGTAACTCCACACAAATATTAAAAAGGCCAGTTAAGTCACTTCAAGAAACAAGATTCTAGAACGTTGCTAAATGCTGCATATTTTGTGCCAGGAGGTTTTGAGGGGAGAGAGAGGGGAGAGGGGAGAGGG